CAAGCACAGGCTAGGCAACTAACCAGAGACATTGCCTCAAATTGAATTTTTTTTAAAGTGTTTTCCTTCTTTTTTGAGGCAAATAGCCACATTGTCTTAGCATCAAGTGTTGGCTACATCCAAGAAGAGTAAATGCTGCTAGTCAAATGTAATGAATATAAAAGTAATTAAAAGTCCCAAGTAAAAGGTTTTGAGAGGTGGAAACTTGCCCAATCCATATAGGGTTATGTGATTGTGACATCTATCTAACAGTGAAGTGACCAAGTCGCTTCTGGAGGTTTGTGACTCATCTGCATAACATTTTTTAGATGATCTTGTCTTTCCATCAGATAGAAGTAAGATCAAAGACCCAAGATCCAGCCGTTCTCAGAGATTTCTTAGTATCAAAGACAAGTCTGACTTCCAGTACACTCCCAGGACATAAGAAAAGTTTCCTCAGATTCCACATGATGGCAGGGTCCAGGTTGGATGAGGGAAACCCATATTAACAATGAGAGATGCAACCAGTTCTGAATCCAAGTAGCTGAACTCCACAGACATTTTTATGATGAAGGTGGTACCATTTTTGGTCATTGTGAGAGAAGATCTTATCTGACTTAAGAAATTCTTCTGAAAAGAATTTCATGGCCACTCCAAGTCCACCCCCACTGTGCTGTGGAGATTGAGAGATTGGAAAGTTGAAGCCTTGGAATTTGTTCTTCCTTTAGAATGACAGGCTCTGTGGTCACTATCAAGGAGGAAGGATTAAGAGTGGCACATAATATTTTGTTTTATTTTGTTTGGCAGAACCAGGGATTGAACTCAAGCCCTTGTGCTTGCCAGACAAGCATTTATTCTACTGAGCTGTCTCTCTGGCCCCTAACATTTTTATTTTTTAGTTTTTGGTGGTACCAGGGATTGAACTCAGAACCTTGCACTTTCCAGGCAAGCACTTATTCCACTGAGCTATCTCCCCAGCCTTGATAATGGTTATTTTTTAAAGGCTCTTGCTTTGTAGTGCAGGCTAGCCTTGAATTCTCTATGTAGCCCATTCTGGCCTCAAACTTGCACTTGCATTGATCCATCAGCCTCAGCCTCCTGAGTGCTGGGGATGCAGGGGTAGCCACTACCCCCAGCTCACAATTTTTTTAGATTATAAACATCCACAAACCTCAGCACACAAAACAAATAAATAAAAACCATAGAAACATAAGAAGAAAAGGCAACAAAACACCTTCCAAAACTCCTAACTCTCCCAAAGCCAATCCAAGGGACACCTTGGGGTAGAATAACATAAGCCACACACACAAATTACTGGAAAGAATAACAAGAGGATCCCTGGCCCCAGTGGTTTCATGTTTGGGTGGAATTCAGCTCTGAACAATTTACATTGTTCCTGTAAGAATGTTGCCAAGGTAATTCATGGAAAAAAGATAAAAATAAAATAAGACTTTCTGAAGAAGTTATCAGTCTGTCATCCTATGAGATATAGAAATTGGGTCTGGGCCAAGTTATAGAAGCTTTTCAAATCCCAGGCAATTAATATTTCTTCAAAGCATGCATTTTAAAATTACTTCCAGAAGTAAAGTGATTAAAAGTGAGTTCTTCAAGGATCAGATTCCATTTTCAAGGGATACAAAGCATACCTGTATTTTATCCTACTTTCTGTGTAGCTTATATTTTAATGACATAAACTTTTAGATAGATTCCTATAATAACAAGTAAGATAATAACAGATAGGAAATACCCTTCCAACTTTAGTATTTGGTCTTACTTCCTTGAACCATGAATGTCCTAAATTGTCAAAAAGAAATAAATCTGTTGCATACACATTCAGTGGAGTTTTTAATCTTCTGGTCTTTACCTCAATCTGATAAAAGCCATCAATGACAAACCCAATAGCTGACAACTAAATGGTCAAAAACAAAGCTTTCACTCTAAAATCAGGAACAAGACAAGGATGTCCACTATTAGCACTTCTATTCATAATAGTTCTGAAAACATTAGTCAGAGCCATTAGATAAGAAAAGGAAATAAAATAAATAAGGATAAGAAAGGAAGAGGTTAAATTATCATTATTGGACTGGAGATGTAGCTCAGCAGCATAACACCTGCCTGGCAAGCACAAAGTTGTGAGTTTGATTCCCAGTTCCAAAAAAATAATTATCGTTATTTACAGATCTCATGATACTCTACATAGAAGATTCCAAAAACTCCACCAAAAGATTTCTAGATTTAATAACCAAATTCAGGAGTGTAGCTGAATACAAAGTTGACACTCAAAAATCAGTAGCATTCCCATACACAAACAATAAACTCACTGAGAGAGAAATTAGGGAAACAACAACTTTCACAATAACATCTAAAAAAAAAAGAAAAGATAGAAAGAAAGATAGGAAACAGTCTAAAAAATGAAGTAAAAGATCTATCTATACGCTGAAAATTACCATAATCTGAAAAAGGTCAAAGAGGTTATCAGAAAATAGAAAGATATTCCTTGCTCATGGGTAGGAAGACCCAACATAGTGAAAATGGCCATACTCTGAAAATTGATACACGGATTAAATGCAATCCCAACCAAAATACAGTAGCATACCTCACAGAACTAGAGAAAACATTCTTAAAATTCATTTGGAACTACACCTAGAGTAGCAAAAACAGTTATCAACAACTAAGGCAAATCAGGGGGTATCACAATCCCTGACTTGAAATTATACTGCAAAGCTACTGTGATAAAAGCAGCATGATTCTGGGGGGGAAAAAAACAGGCCTGCGGATCAATGGAACAGAATATGAGATGCAGAAACTCCAAATACACTCAGCTGCCTTATCATTGACAAAGGGACCAAAAACATTTAATGGAATTGAAATAACCACTTCAATAAGTGGATAAATCATGCTGGAAAAGCTGGCTTTCCACATGCCAAAGACTAAAACTAGACCCATTTCTATCACCATGCACTAAAATTGAAATGGGTCAAAGATCTAAATATTAAAACAGAAACAATAAATCTGTAGAAGAAAGAATAAGCATAACTCTTAAAGATATAAATGTAAGCAAAGATTTCATGAACAAAACCCCAAATATATGAGAAATAATACAAAAAATCAACTGGGATCTCATCCTATTAAAAAATTTCTGCAGAGGAAAGAAATCACCAACCGAGTGCAAAGATAACCACAGAGTGGGAAAAAATTTTAGCTCTTTCTCAGACAAAGGAGTAATTGAAGAAATGAAAAAAATCAGACATCCCAAATTTAAAAGCCCAGTCCAAAAGTGGGTATCTGAGATGAATATACACCTCTCAGATGAAGAAATACAAATAGCAAATAAATATATGAAAGATGTTCAACACCAGTTGTCATTTGAAAGATGCAAATTAAAACAATGCTGAGATTCCATCTCACCCCAGAAAGAAAGGCTATTATAAAGAAATTTACCATTAATAAATGCTGGAGGAGATTGAGAAAACAGGAACTTGGCCCCACTGTTAGTAGAATAGACTGGTGCAACCATTGTGGAAATCAGGGTGAAGCTCCTCAAAAGACTACAGTTAGAGGTCCCATTTGATGCAGATACTCCTCTTCTGGGTATTTTCTGGGAAGAATTAAAAACATACTACAGTGATATATAAGACTGTCTCAAAATAAAAAGAAAAATGGTTGGGATGTAGTTTGGGGTGGAATATTGCCCAGCATGTGCAAGGCCATGGGTTCAATCCCCATTACCAAAAGAAGGAGGAAGAAGAGGAGGAAGAGAAAGGGGAACAGTTTGTTCAGTAATATTTAAATTACTTAACGTGTCTATGTTTAGTAATGTTTATGCTCTTAGAAATAACACTGACCTAGAATCATTAGATTTTTTTCCTAAAAGTTTTTATAATGAAGGATGAGAACTGAAAGGTCATCTGTCTGGATTTTATGTTAACTCCTCAAACTGGCTACAGACAAAGCCAAGTATCTCTGCTATACTGAAATGATCCTGAGGCATGGCTTAGCTATAATTGTAGTTCTGAAATGGTACACACCTATAGTATTTAGATGCCAATGGAATACCATTTCTGACAGGACTAAACAAAAAAAGGGGATGGGAAGGACCATTTTGTATCTGTATATGCAGAATAGTTAGGATAGATATACAGCTACTTTCACTTAATTCAATGAGAAGAAAGATTTGTACTAATAGTGTTTGGACAGGATATTCTGTCTGTATCTTGTACTATGGATAACCACTAAGAAGATAACAATGTACAGTGTATTATTTAAACTGTCATTAATCAATTTTGAAACTGTCTCATTGATACTTGTTTCTCAATAAAATAATTTTAAAAAGAAGTACATTTTATTCAAGGCAGTAATTTACTTTTGCTGTTTTAGGCTCTATAACTCCTACTTACATATTATGTTAATATCATACATATTTGTTTACTTATAAGGTTTACCTGAGATGGTAGAAGAATGTGGTATATAATTTTCAGACCTATCTGTACATTTGTTGTATAAACTGTACTTCCAAATTTGTTTAAATTTTTTTAAAAAACAAATTTGTTTACATTTTTAAAAAAAATTCTGAAATGATACTGCATCAAAATCCTCATTCTGGGAGCACATCTTTTTTTAAACAGAACTTCTCAGTGACTAAGTGAAAAATGAAGGTAATGTTTACGAAGCATAATGCTGTTAGGTCTCCAGTTTGTAGATCATCCAGAGTAAAACTGAGCAGTCACAACTGCACCTTCTAATTGATGAGTGAATGACTGAAAGCACTTCCTTTCATATTTCTGGTAAATTCACACAAGAAAAACCTGTTGGGCTGCAAAGTTTCTTCTTCTGGTATAGGGATGATGTTATTAGTGCAATGCCTAGAATATGATAGGTATCTATTCTTGTATGTTGGTCAGACAAACTGATTTTTAGGAAGGAAAGAAACTCTGAGGCATAATGGATAATGAAATTGGACAACCAATTAATCTGAAATCTTGGTCACTAAAGATTTATATCTGATTCATTCTTTTCTGCAGCAAGTGAGAGGGAACTTTGTTAGGTTGCAAGCCTGCATCTCAGAGCTCCACATGTTACAGAAAGAAGGTTGTTTTAGACCACAGAGCATTTCTTTGCAGCTAGCAATAGAGGACGGACTCCAGCAGTTCAAACAATATAGCAGACATGTGAACAAAGGTGCTGCTCTGCCCTATACTTCCCTGGAGGTAAGAGACATTAACTTCTAGGACTCATGCCATCTTCCCATTCTGGTCTATATGTGTGTTTCATTATTTATAATCCTTATATTGTTCTCTGTTTCATATAATTCAGTATAATTTTCAAGGCCAGATTCTCAGCTCCTTGCAGGCAGATGACATGTTTCTCTTTATCCTATAACCTATACAAGCCTTAAACTACAGATAGGCATAGAAAGAGGCTCAGTAAAATAGAGGTCAAAGTGAATTATAAGGAAAAACTGAAATAAAATCTGAATATGCCATCTACCTTTAGATTTTTGGAATTTGAAAAATAAACATTAAACTGTCTAGATTGGTATTGATATTTATGTTTACCTGAATATCGATAAGAATTTGTAATTATCCTTAACCAAATTTTGGCATCAAATTGAGTAAATTTACTTGGGTTATCAAATGTGCAAATGTAGTCATTACTACTATTCTAGTGCCAGATTGAGGTAATCTTAAGAATATAAATAAGTCAAGTCATGGCTGCATACTCTATGGGTACATGGTTGGTACATATGAATTAAAATACTTTTCAGCCTTTGGTAACTTTAGGCAGCAAACAGGCTAAAAATAATTGTGTGAGACATCTAGCTTCTGGTTTCACATGTAAGGAGCTTGCAAGTTGCTGCTTTATCCTGTTAGTAAAATACTAAGCAATAACAAAGTCAACAACTCTACTTAGATCCCCAAGAGAAGTAAGTTCACAAGGCAAACCACTGTCTCCAAAATTAGAGAGACAGATGGACAGAATCACAGCATCCTGGAGCAGAGACCTCATGGGAACCACTCCATGGGTAGGAAAATATGAACTCTGATGCAAACTAAAGGCTAGGTATGACCAAGTCTGAAAGTTAAAACTCCTGGAGGACTCAGTCATAGAGAGGCCTAGGGGAGTATAAGCAGCCTCTCACCATAAATGTCAAGGGGAAATTACCTCATGTCTAAGCAAAGGGGAGTATAAGAACAACCATTTTGAAATACACAAGATCATTTGGTTCTTTTTAACAATTTCTGGCCTCAAAAGATAGTTAAGCAGCTAAACAGAGCCTAACCTGCTGGGATTTTATCAGAGTCTAATTGAAGTAGGAGACAAGAAATACAAAACTTGGCAGAGGATCCACCATCTTCCTGCCATCAATCCTCTCTTTGTCTTCCTCAATACAGGCTTTTACCTCCCTTTCTTTAAAAAGAAAAAAAGAAAGAAAGAAAAGAAATACAAAGATTGGGCCAGCGATAGCCTTCCACATAGGAGTACACTCTAGCCTTCCTATTCCACATAAGGGTGAGGGGAAAAACTGAGAAAATTAGTCCAGAGGCATGAGTTCTCAAAAATTGAAATCTAATATAATGTAAAATATATATTATTTTTTATAAAATTATTTCACATTAAATTAAATTTTGTATTATTACATTTATACAACTTATGTGTAATTTATATTTTATTTTTTGTTCTAATATAAAGTAATTTAATGTAATGTAATTCTAATGAATACTTTCCTTCCTTTCATACATTATCACACATTACTAAGGGCCCATTAAAATAGTTCATTTGCCTCTGTACATCCTATCAAGAAAATATTATAAGGCATATTAAAAATCAATGACACTTTTAAAAGACAAAGCAAGTCACAACAGGGATGTTGGTGTTACTGGATATATAGTTTAAGACAACAATAATGATATGCAAGTGCTCTAACAGATACAAGATACAAGAAAAAATAATTTGGCAAGTCTAATAAATAAAGTAGACACCATAGCAAGCAATGGAAATCGAACACTGGAATGGAAATGAAGGTTCTCCCAGGCATGGTGATTATTGTAGTCAGGGTTTTCAAGAGAAACAATTTAATATAGGACACAGAATTTATAGGGTTGGGCCATGGAGATAGCTCAGCAGTCTAAGCCCCTGCCTAGGCAAGCACAAGGACCAGAGTTTAATCCCTGGTACAGCAGGCCATCCCAGCCCCACCTCAGGCACATCAAACCGGCCACCAAAACCACACATGGTGGCTGGCACATGCCTGTAATCCCAGTGCTGGGAAGGCTGAATTAGGAGGATCACTACAAGACCAAGCTGCATAGTGAGATCTTGTACCAAATATATAAAATTGAAAGATAATAATTTCTAGGATTATTTTATAATAGTCACCAAAAAATTAGATACTAATGAGTTTTGAAACTCTCATTGCTATTTGTTTCTCAATAAAATTATTGTTTAAAAAGTAAAATTAACAAAAATTAAAAAATATTTAAGACATCATATTACATGGATATGTGCATATCCATGTTTATATCAACATAATTCATAAAAGGTAATTCTTTGAAGGAGCCTAAATGTCCATCAAAAATGCATGGATAAAGAAAATGTGATATTTATATACCATGGAACATTACTTTGCTGTAATGAAAGATAAACTTCAGGCATTTATAGGAAAATGGATGCACCTTGATACCATAGTATTAAATGAGATAAGTCATACATATAATCTTAAATAGTATCTCTTATTTGATAAACTATAAAAAGAAGTAAAGAGAAAAATAAAATATAGATGGTGGGGAAGAGAATCAAGAGATGGAGAGGGGAAGGATGTGAGAGAGAGGAGGAAAAACTATGTGTCATGTGTACAAATTCTTCACAAGGAATTAAATCATTATGTGATGGAAGCATGTATTAATCAAAAACAAAGAGTGAAAAATATTATTTCTTTTCAGAAGATATTAATGGGACTGAGAAAAAAGAAGAATCAAGATATATCATGTACATATATAAATTCATTATAATGAGTATGGTCATTATGTATACTTAAATTGTACCAATAAACCTAAATGCACTAAAAATAAATCATGTGCGCTAAAAATTTAAAAAATTAAAAATCAGAAAAGAACATTAAATACAAAAGAGTGTAGGAAATCTGTCCACACACTAAAAATCCAAAGAATCCAGCCAAGGGCCTGGATCCCACAGCAGTGTTCTTCATGAGTCCAACTAAAGACCTAGAGCCCATAATAATGCCCCCCTATAATCAAACTGGGGGTCAAAAGCCCACAACAAAGTGTCATACAAGCAAGTACCATGAGACTTCTAGGCAAAGACAACTATTAGGTATAAAGAAAGGTACTACATAATGGTAAAGAAGTCAGTTCTTCAATATTATGTAACAATTTTTAATATGTATGCCCCTAACACAGTGTCATAATTGAGTATATTAAAAAAATTTGAGTATATTGAAGTAGCCAGCTATCTGTCACTGTGACAAACTACCTGAAAAAGCAATTTAAAGGAGGGTGAGATTTATTTTGACTCATAGTTTGAGAGGTTTAAGCCCATGGTCACTTGACTATCATTTCTAGACCTGTGATGAGGCAGTTCATCCAGATGGAAGGGCATAGCAAGGAAAGCTACTCACTTCATTGTGGCCAGGAAGCTAAGACAGAAAATTGCAGAGGACAAACATCCCCTTGTGATCATCCCCAGTGATCTACCTCCTCCAGCTAGGCTCAGTCTCTTTCTATAGCCTTACAGTAACATCACAGGCCACAACCAAGCCTTCATGGCTTTTTGGGGACATTTCAGGTGCAAACCATAAAAATTAGGTAAGATTGTATAGAATTTCAGATTAATAAGTGAATCTACTCTATGTATTTGGAAACTTCAACGTCCTCCTATCAGAAATAGATCCAGTGGGATCAGTAAGGTGAACACATAGTTGAACTCAATAAATAACACCAATGATCCACTAGATATAATTAGCATCTTTAGAATACATCATTCAAAAATAGAAGCATACACATTCTTTTCAAGCTTACACGGATTAATGAAGGTAGACCACATTCTAGACCATAAAACATTTCTTTCTTTCTTTTTTTTTTTTTTTGGTACCAGGGATAGAACGCAGGACCTTGCACTTGCCAGGCAGGTGCCTAAGCCACTGAGCTATCTCTCCAGCCCACTATAAAACATTTCTTAGAATAGAAATCATACAGTGTTTTCTGTCAGACAACAACCGATTTTAACCAGAAATTATTTAACTGAAGGTAGCTAAAAAATACCAAAAAATAGAGATCAAGCAACACATTTTCAAACAACACATAGGTCAAAGAATAAATCTCAAGTTATACTAAAATATTTAAATTAGGAGCCGGGGAGATAGCTCAGTATAATAAGCACTTGCCTGGCAAGCACGAGGGCCTGAGTTTAATCCCCAGTTCTGCCAAAAAAATAAATAAAAATTAAAAATAAATAAAATAAAATATTTAAATTAAAGTGAAAACATGGCTATCGTGTAGGATATAAAAGAGCAGTGTTTTGAGGGAACAGATCTCAGTAATCCTTTTCTAGGTTCAGTTTATCTTGACTGTGATGCCCTGTCCCACCATAGTCTGCCAAAGAAAATTTGATGTGTAGCATTTCATGACCTTTTAGCTAAGATCAACTAAATTTTATTTAAAAGTGATGGTTAAATCTTCTTTCCACTAAATTCAGTAGCCTCTACAACTGACATCCGTGATGTTCCTCCTTAGACATCAGGAAGAACAGGCAGATTGATTCCGGATTTATTTTCAGATTACTGTCCTAACTTCTCAGCCTGGAAAAGAAGTGGTCAAAAAATTGGAGGAAGGGTTGAAAGATAAAGACCTACTTCAAGTCAGGAGGCTTCAAGTGGTTGAGGTTGTTAAGGGACTCCTAGATGTGGACTTGGCATCTCCTGTTGACGAGTCTGGCAATGATGGTAAGATTTTTTTTTTTCTTTTTAAGATGAACTCTTGCTGTCTTGAACTCACAATCCTCCTGCCTCAAGGAATTTGTTTAAGTGAGAAGAATAGCAATGATTTTAATAGTCTTTTACAAGTCAGGATGATTATTTTCCATGTTCTTTTTGTGTTCCTAAGTAATAAATTCAGCCAGCAGATTTCGCACGAATGTTTTTTGGTATTAGACTGCATTTTGTAATAGTTTATTTCAGAAACAATGTACTCTAGCAGTAAACACTCAAATTTTATAGGTATTAAAAGTAAAAATTCCTTCCTTCTGCTCTGCTCTACCCCATGATTAAATAGGATGATTGGCAACTAAGGGTATGGTTCTTGTCAAATTCTGACACATGTGGATTCTTCTAGCTTCTCAAAGCACTGATATTATTCTGGCAAAAGCAGGAGGGTACCCAGCCTTGGCCTTATGGTTTATGACCTCTCATCTGCTACACACACTGTGCTTCTCTCAAGCCCAACTCCTGTCCTTCTTTCGAACCCTAATTTCTCCACTAACATCTTTTGAATTCTATCTCCTTCTTTCTGAATTCTGTCCCCTATCCTCTTCCAGCCAAATCCTGCCCATGTTTTAAATCCTAATTTGGGTTCATGACTACTGTATTGATTTTCCCCTCCTTAGAACAAGTACCTCACTTGTGGCCTATACCATATATTTCAACACTTACTTATAGACTGTAAAACTGTTCACACTTCTTTGTTGTGTGCTAATTTCATCTATTCACCTAAATTATAAGCTATTTTATATCTTTTCAGTCTGTATTAAATTCTAAATATACTGGGCTTAGAAACTCGTTTTACTCATTTCTGGGTCCCAGTGTATTAAATAACCTAAGTTATCAGAAAATATTTGTCATATTAGTTGATGCCCCTCATACCTGTGGAGGCCCTTCTAAATTGGCTTAGTATCCCCTATTTCTCTTTCTATGGTAAACCTTTACTTTTCAGGTCAGAGTAGTCCATAACCCAGGCTAAGGCAATCATAGTTCCAAACAGTACCAGCGGAACCCTCTCCATTAGCTTCTCAAACTAATCTATGAGGAGAAGCTCTTTGAGGCATGGATTATGTCCTTTGCTCCCTTCAGTGACTCTATGGAGAAAGAACTTGTGTCTCTAATATCACAGAGCCCAGAGTAATTGGAGGCTGCTTGATACCTTCTTTTAGAATAGTCAGTGGCTTGTCTTTATGGTAGAGCTTTTAATGCAGGAGAGCTCCTTTTACTTTATTCATTGCAATTGTTCCAGTAGCTTTGTTTGCTTCTGAATAATATATTATCTCACAAATTGCCAGTAGTTCCTCTTTTAGGCTAAGTGTATATTATGGTTTAGATCTAAAATGATCACTAAGACTGGGCATGGTGACGCACACCTATATTCCCAGCACTTAGGAGGTTAAAGCAGGAGGATCTCCATCAGTTCAAGGCCAACCTGGGCTACAATGTGAAACCAGCCTCAAACCTCCCTTCTCCAAAAAAAAAAAAAAAAATCTAGCATGAAAATATTAACTTCATATGACATTTACATTAATTAAAGTTTTCTATAAATATTTAACCTGTAGAATCTAATATGTTTTCTTCTGAGATTATAAATGGTACTTTTCTTTCTTATGTTCCTGCTTGATCTAACTTGTTTATTTTATTATCTTGAAATTTAGTTGTGGCCAGCCAAATAGCTCAGTGGATTAAAGTGCCTGCAAGTAGTAGGAATAGCAGTACCTTTTATATGCTTTTTACTGATAAGTTTTAAGCTTTGACAATTTATATTTTATTAAAAAGATGAGAATTCAACCCCAGTAATGGGGAAAAAAATGTAAAAAGATGACAGGGCCAGCGAGATAGATCAGTGGACTAAGTGCCTTCTTAGGCAAGCATAGGGACCGGGGTTCGATCCCCAGTTGGAACTGGGGTTTGATCCCCAGTACTGCATGCCATGCCAGCCCCGCCCCTGGGCGCACTGAGCAGGCAACAGAGTCCGGGCGCGATGGCATATACCTGTAATCCCAGTCCTGGGAAGGCTGAAAACAGGAGGACCACTATGAGTCTGAGCTAAGTGGTGAGACCCTGTATCAAATACATAACATTTTTTAAAGTTTAAAAAATAAAAAGATGACAATACCATCAAACAATTTTAATTTAAAAATCACTCAATGTCCCACTAGTCCATTATGCTGCCTTTATTTTTGCATGTCAGTGCTCTATTGTCCACAATCATGTGTATGCTACATAGCTGTAACTTGTGTGTGTAGCTTTTAATTTTCATGTAACAAAACAGCATTATATATTTTCCATAGTTCTCTTAGCTTTTGTTTTCTAATGTTTATTTTGGGTTTTTTTTTTCCTGTTTGTTTTGTTGAGACAGGTTCTTGCTATATTGAAGCTGGTCTTGAAATCACTTAGGCCTCAAATTTATAGCCATCTTTTTGCCTCAGCCTCCACAGTACTGTGATTATAGGCATGACCACCACACACAGCTCTTCTTTCCCTCTTAAGAAAGCTAAGAAATGCTGGCTCAAGAAATAGAGCTATGAAGAGATCCACTTCTTATAGGAGAGATGACTGTCTTTATCCTTATATGTTCTCTTCACATATAAAACAAACCTACACCTACAGCAAATTCCAAATGCTAGACGTTGATCATAATAAATAGGATCTAAGCGATCCTGCCAATTCTATCAGCCAAAGAACTCACTAGAAGAACCATAAATCATAAGAACAATGCTACTTATTTTGTTTTTAAGATCTTCCTAGTCTCAAGAAAAAGATATATGAACTAAAATCCACCGTATCTTAACATACTCTCAAATCTGTTTCTAGATCATAATAACACTGTTTTATTGGACATTTATTCAAATACTTTCTAAATATTTCCACATTATCTTACTTAATCTTTATCTAGATGAAAAACTAAGACATAGTTTCTAATAACAATTATTCTTTCTTTTTTCTTTTTGTTTTTGGTACCAAGAATAGAACTCAGGACCTTGCCCTTTCCAGGCAGGTGCTTAAGCCCTGAGCTATCTCCCTTACCCCTTAAGACATAATTTCTTGTCCAAATTAGCTTTCCCAAGGTTTCTCAGCCTATACACAAAACAAAGCTTCAAGTTCAAGCAGTCTAGCTTCAAAGTTCACTTTTTTAATCTTTTTCTACATTACCTTGGTTGACAAAACCAATAGAAATGATAAGCAATTCAAAAGTTCCTCCTTTTAAAAAAAAAAAAGCCTAATAAGATAAACAGTTCTCTGGTGAAATGAATAAAAATGAGGGAAAAAAAGTGCACACAGATATGATGGGAATAGTAAAAGTGACCATAATTGCAAATAAACTGTAAGTTCCAAGTTAGATTTTTAAAAAATGGATACAAAATGGACAAAAACTGAAAGCTTTCACTCTAAAATCAGGAACAAGACAAGGATATTCCCTGTCTCCATTCTCATTCAACATAGTCCTGGAAACTTTAGCCAGAGCAATTAGACAAGAAAAAGAAATAAGAGGAATAGTGATAGGAAAAGAAGAAGTTAAATTGTCATTATGTGCAGATGATATGACACTACATGGAAGACCCCAAAATCTCCACTAAAAAAAATGATAGATTTAATAAACAAATTCATATAGCAGAGCTGACTTCATAGTCAACACTCAAAAAAAAAAGTCAGCACTCAAAAGTCATTAGCCAGGGCTAATCCTGACCTTCAGTGTGTCAGCAAATAGCACTATGACCCCCTCCAGGAAGTTTTTCATGGGGGGCAAAACTGGAAGATGAAGGGATGGAAGAACACCCTGGGGGAGCTCATCAACACCCTGCACACTGCTGGATCCCAAGATAGCTGTGGCTGCACAGAGCTGCTACAAAGTTACTAATGGGGCCTTCACTGGAGAGATCAGCCCAGGCATGATCAAAGACCTTGGAGCCACATGGGTAGTCCTGGGCCTCCCAGAGAGAAGGCACGTCTCTAGGGAGTCAGATGAGCTGATTGGACAGAAGGCAGCCCATGCCCTTGCAGAGGGACTAGGAGTAATTGTCTGCATTGGAGAGAAGCTCGATGAAAGGGAAGCTGGCATCAGAAAAGGACATTTTTGAGCAAACCAAGATCATCTCAGATAACGTGAAGGATTAGAGCATTGTAGTGTTGGCCTATTAACCTGCATGGGCCATTGGCATCGGCAAGACAGCAATACCTCAACAGGCCCAGGAGGTACACAAGAAGCTCTGGGGATGGCTTAAGTCCAATGTCTCTGATGCAGTGGCTCAGAGCACCCGGATCATTTATGGAGGTTCTGTGACTGGGGAACCTGCACAGAGCTAGCAAGCCAGCCTGATGTGGATGGCTTCCTCGTGGGCGGTGCTTCCCTCAATTTGTGGACATCATCTATGCCAAACACTAAGTGCCATCATCTGCCCTACCCTTCCTGCTGAGCCAGGGGACAGACAGCCTGGAAGCCCATCACTGTCCTCCTCCATGCTTCTGATGGTGTCATCTGCCCTCTAGTAGCCCAATGGAGTGTTTACACTTTTCTTGAGTGTTTACACCTCCCCATAATGATTGGGACATGACCAAGCCAATACTTTCACCACTTACTTGGATTAGAGCTGCAAGGTAGCTTCTTCTAGGCTTAGAGACAGGTGTGGCACTTGCTCATGGTCCCCCTCAGGCCCTGCTCAGGGCAGTAGAGAAGTCTTCCTCTCCATCACTCCTTGATAATCCTCCTTTGAGAGGCAGAGATGCTCCCCTCCCATAGTGTTGACCCTGTGTGTCCTATGTCTGTGTTCTGTCTCACATGTAAGGGAAATAAACACCTGGCACTAAGGAAAAAAAAATAGAGTCAATAGCCAGGCTGGCCAGATAGCTCAGGGGGTTGAAGCACCTGCTTAGGCAGCTGCAGAGGCCAGGGGTTCAATTCCTGGCCTGCTTTGCTGGGCCCAGATGATTGAGACTGGGCATGGTGGGGCACATCTATAATCCCA